TTGTTGGGTTCCATGTTAGTCAGGCGAGAGTGTTTTCTCGTATTTTCTAGGTACGGAGGTTGTCTACCACTATATAAGTTGTTTGTCTCGTGCATTGCACAGGTGGAGGATCCATACCTCCAGAACCCATGGAACTAGGTTGGCCAGCCTTGCTTCGATTTCTCGCCAGTACACTCAATGGACGACGAGGGCGAACCGCGAAGGTTCCAACAGGAAAGGACGTTGGAGGGAGCTGAGGGAGCGGAGCTGAAAGCCGCTGCACCCACTTGGCATGGACAATCTGCTCGGTCTACATGTGAGTGCTCATGTGGTACATTTCATGTGTATGTTTGGTCAAGGGTCCAGGGATGAACGTGCATTGGGATGTGTCAGAAAAGGCAGGGACCCTTCACAGTTGCTTTGGTCTCCCTTCGAAACTCGAAAGAACGCACCTCTTGAAAACAAGACACGCCCGGGCAAGGTGCCGGACGTTTTTGGGCGCTCTTGACTTTTCTGGCAAATTTCGATTCTTCTGAGATACAAAGGGAACCCATTTACGGTGATAAGGTAGTCATGGGAAGCAACCACTTTGGCACACACGCAAGGTTATTTTCCACAAGCATGTTCAGGGGAAGCACACACGCTCCTTTAGGTGCAAGGCCGGCTATCCATGTCTCTAAACAGAACCCCCATCCGCGCAGGTTTGTGTTTGCATCGGACAAGTCCCTCGTTTTCGTTGTGCCCACCCTTAAAATTGTGGCCCTGAAATGCACCCCTGTTTCCCTCAGAGTGATTTCTGGTATGGGACTCAAGCTGAACCAAGGAGACTTCGGCAAGACATTGACGTTTCCTAGGGTAGGCGACCCCTAAGGAGAAGCGGAGCCGTCTCACGGTGCATACCTGTGCTACCACTGGGGTACGCGACTCCTTCAAGCCTTCCTGCCAAAAGCAGAATACGCCATTCATGAAGTGCCTCAAATGCAATCGGGGCTTCCAATTGGATGTTCAACTCATTTAGGAAGTAGGTTTGAAGTCATTTTTACACATGAGTCACAAGGTGTTGATGGACAAATCACCATAGTCTTCAATCTATTGGATGTAGTTTGACCAAAACTTTAGCCAATTTCAATCCAAACCAGCAATCAGAGAAAAGCTGTTTCCCAGCCTTTTGTCAGGTAACCGCATGTAGAGGTAACTGGTAAATGGGCAACAACCTTTGCACACCTCCGAACCACCAAAGAGGCAGTCCCACTTCAGCGTATCCCAAACCTCAGATCTATCCGAACCAGCCGCTCCAATTGGATCCTTTTGGGAGCCTCCCCAGGTCGCATCCAACCCAACAAACACTATGGTCTCATTCCCATGGTTTCATTTCGTGCAGCCAATCGTTCCTGGAGCCGTCTCCCCGGCCCCCTCCAACCCAAACCCAAACCCAAACCTCCCCCCACGCCCCCCACCCGCCGAAATCCACATCCCAAAGCCCAACCCCCTTTCCCCCGCCCCCACCCTTGGTTGTTGTTAGGAAACATTTTACATGTTTGCTTATTGTGGTTTAGTGGTTGAAACCCCCACCTAACTGCTGATGTTTTTTTCAATTTTTGCTTCCCCCCCCTTTCAACGTCAACCAAGCACCCGCTGAGCCTTTTTTCCAACCCCCCGCCCAACCCCAAACCCCCCCCCCCCTCCCGCCGAAATCGACGCCAACCCAACTCCCAGCGCCGAGGAACTTCATCGCGGAGCGCGAGCGCAAGGCGCGGGAGCCCGAGGTGGCCCCGGAGCAGCCGGAGAGCGGCTCCGACGCCGAGCGGGGCGGATCATCCGCCTTCCACGGGGATGGCCCGGAGCCAGCGAAGGGAGGGGAGTTCGCCTTCCAGTAGGGGCCATCGAACGTGGCACTGCCCCAAAAGCGGGAAGTCGGCGAAGTCATGAAAAGCAGGTGAAGCTAAAACACCCACTGAGAGACTGGGGTTCTTATTGTTTGGCTGTTTCTAGGGGTGATCAAAGTCAGAAGCTGGTTGGTGGTTTCCCTTTAATTAACCCACCACTTAGGGGGGGACTTTGATACTGGAAGAATAACGGGGGCAGACAGAGAGGAGCAAACCGGGAAGTCAGCGAAGTCATGAAAAGCAGGTGGAGGTCAGCATGGAAGACATGACAAAAGAGTTGGCAAAACAAGAGGAGGTCGATCAGCATGAAAGTCATGCAAATAAGGAAGAAGCTGGCCAAAGCTCAGGTGTCCTTTTTAGGTCGGATTGGTTGCAGGTAGATGGCCCTGGTTTCATGTTGCTTCAACTTGCCTACCAGTGCCATCTATGTTTCCAAAAGGACACCTCTGATCCAAAGCTGCCCTTCAAACAACGAAATGCGCCAAGTAATGCAGCATGGAGTAAATGCAGCATGGGAACGGGGCAAATAGGTGACCTCACGAGATCTTGCGACCTCGGTCCCCAGAAAGCGCATTAGGACGCTCTTTTGGTGGGTTGGTGTTGTCCATGAATTAGCAGGCTCTTGTAAAGAAAGGTATTGGACAGGTTTTGGAGTCAATTGGTACATCAGCAGTGCTATTTGCATCCAGCACCAGAGCTCACAGAATTTCCCTCCGAAAGCGGCACCCAAAACGGTTTTTCCTCTGGGGAAATCTGGGGAAATCGTTCTCCGTTGCACCTCATGTCACTTTGATGGACCCAGCGTTCGGAGACTTCTCTTTCCAGCCGTCGGGTTCCGGCCGCCCACTTTTTGGCGTTCCAGCTTGGACAGCGTGCGCCTCTAGATGGATGCAGAGACCTTTACGGCGTTTACGGCAATTGCTGAAGCCTTGGCTGAACCAAGGCCATGTTATAAATTAGGCACGGCATGTTCCGCTCAAGTGGGAGGCTGCCTAAGAGGTTCGGAGCCCCCACTATGGAACCTGATACTTTAGTCGCAAAGGAAGCTTGTCTCTGTTAAGAGGAACCCAGAGATTCCATGTGGGCAGGTTGAAGCGTCTCTTGGCACGGGGACACTTGGGCTGGGATAGGCCCTAGGCGATTCGCCTGGATTGCCACCAGTGACTCGATGGGAGTGGTTCAACTTGAGAATGACTGTAGTGACCTGGTTGCCGCCAGGTCACATACTTCGGAGGTTCCCAAAATTAATCGCCTTTGCACCGCGCGGCAAAAAAAACTCCGTGCGATTCGCCGCGCATTTTTATGCGGCGTACGCGCACCCGACTGCGCGGTGTGTCCACATAGTTGAGCAGCAGGCAAGGCCTCTTAGAGACTCTTGTGTAAGGAAGCTGGATGCTCATTCAAGTTCAGCACTTCTTCTTTCTGTAAGTTCAGGGTTTCCCAGCCATCCAAACCCCTGCTTTGGAGGTGTTTTGGCCGCTGCTCAACAGATCGCAGATCGGTGCAACAACCACCTGGGACCGGAAGGAATTTGACTTCGCCAACTGCCGGCGGTCAACCGCCAGCTTCGACCGTGACGACGACCGCGCGTAAAAAGTGACGACCTGGAGGCTCGAAATCGGAACGGGCCCTCTGAAAGGCTGGGTCTCCTCTTTGGGCTCTTGGCATGGTGTTTCTCACTTGACTGCTTTGGGGTTGGATCTTCAGACTTCAATTTTGATGGGGAAATCAAGTTGGGTTTTCCACTAAACCCCCAAAAGGTTAAACTTTTTGCAGGGGGTCAACAGCAACCAAGCTCAAAACGTCAAAGGAGGAAGCGGCCCACGATGTTTTTGTTTTTTTTTTCACGTGTTCTCTTTTTCTTTCGAAGACGAAAGGGGCCGGGATCCCGGTTCAAGAGCAGCTTGAGCCCAAAAGGGAGGTACATTGGGCGCAACGTGCCTTTGGGCCCAGGGCAGGTGTCAGGGAACCCCGAAATCAAGCCGTGAAGCCAGGCGCAATTCACATCTCACTTGGCCAGTGGCCTGGTTAGTTGGCCGCAACATGCAGGTTGGAGGACTCCAGTGGGTTTGGTGATGTTTCCCTGATCTGTTTGCTGCTGTTCGATTTTTTTCCGGGAGTTCCTTGAAGTTCCTTGCGGGTGGAGTGGTTTGCTTTCCCTTCAGAGCCAAGGGAAGCTGCCTACTTGGTGGCTTGGAGTTTGGGAGCCCATGTCATGCAAGTTGTGCCTCGGAACTCTCCTAAAGCAGGGGAGGCCAATTTGTTGTTTGATTTAACACTGCCATTCAAGTAACATACACAACTCAGCTTGGTTGATCCAATTATGTATGGCAGTATTTCCCGAACGAAACCATTTGGAGTCAGGACCTGGTTTTGTAGGTAACCAAGAGCTTGCCACCCTTTCAAAACCAACAGGAAGATAGCGAAGGGTTGCCTATGTGGGCGGATCCAGTGGTGGAGTTTGACACATACGTAACGTATATCATGTTTAGCTTGTCCTGAGTTTCGACCAGCTACGTGATGTGTGGTCGGTTTTGCTGCCTTGTGTTCTGGAGAGGCCGATGGTAAAAACGACGTCCGCTCCTCCAAAAATGTGGGCAAATTGCTTTCTGGTGCTCAGCATGAGAAAAGGAATGACCCCTATGAAGCATTCTTTCTGTTGCTTTATTCGGGGACCCCCAGATTCATGCCATTTCTCCTTCCTTCCGAAACTTGGGGTTATTATTCTGGCTGTTAGGGGTGATCAAAGTCAGAAACTGGTTGATGGTTTCCCTTTAAGCCACCACTTGTGGGGTGACTTTGATACATTGATACTGGTAAAGTGGGGTCAGAGGGAGCAAAACGGGAAGTCAGCCAAGTCAAATCACAGAGCGGTTGCCAAATTTCACGCGGACATGTCATACTTACGTGCCGGTGCTCCAAACCTTCCAGGCGCTCAGCATGGGTTCCAAGTTTCATCTCAGTTGTCCAAAGCCGACCTTTTGACCTTTTGGTTTTCCAATTTTGGTCCATTTTTAGAGGTGCCAAAAGCTGATCACCTTTTAGTTCTGGGTCCTTTGAACAACTGAGTCATTCCTTCCGAGACACGATGTGGTGAGACCCCTCGAGCTCTGCACGGCGAACGGTTTCTCGCAGGCCAGCGGGTCGCATCGCCGGTGCCAGTGGCGCCCCGCCCGCGGAGCGGCGCTGAAGCAAGCAGCGGGTCTGTGGGTGTTTTCTGTTTTCCCCTCCAAGCCACAGGGAGTTGTACCTGGAGTCTCTATGACCCCTTAAAAAATGGGTCAATGACCCCAACATTTTGGGTAATGACGCCATTTTTCAAGGGTCATGGAGACTCCAGGTACAGGGTTACCAAGCACTTGGGATTTTTACCACGTCTAGAGACCCTCAACAAGTGGCTAAAGTCCAGGAACTCAGGAAGTGAGTCAAACAGAAGAGTCTCTAGTTGCGGACAAAATCCCAGACGTGGAAGGTAACGTTCGGGGGCGCCTTTGAAATAACAATGGTCCCACGAACGACCCTAGGACCCCACTGGGTTGCTTCAGGTTGGGCTTGGACGGTTTGAGTCGCCAAGAAAAGTTCGCACCTTTTTGGGCCAACCCACTCAGGAAGTTGGTTTGGATTGGTTTGGATTGGTAGTTTCTCATCCACAAGAACCGGGGGCTCAAATCCAAATCCAAACCACCAATCCTGACCACAAACTCTGGAAAGCCGAAATTTAGTCCCCCGAGACCTCAGTCTAGTTTTTTGGACGTGTTGCTTTTTGACACCAAAGTGAAACCAATATTTGGGGGGGGGGTTCCCTATTTCAAGACACACCCATTTAAGCGTTTAGTTCCTAGGGAGGGAGGAAGAGACAGGGAAGGGACAAGAGTGCGCAGTGTGCAGAAGGGCCTTGGAGGTTAGAAGGGGGTGCGGCACAGAGAATGACTTCTGTTGATGTTTTTCTTGCGGAGAATGAGTCTAGGAATATGTTGCGTAGATTTGAGGAAAACCAGATCAAAGTTGTTTTCAAAAACATGATGTCCAGCCTCTGGCTGGCTAAACAAATCATAATTCTAGCATGTTGGCCACCACAAGCCCAACGGGGGCGTATTTGGTTGTTCGTAACGGACCTAGGCAGCGGCACATAGGGACCCTTCCATGGCCAAGGACATTCGAGTTGGGCTTCAGGACCTCTTCGATTTGCTGAATTGAATATGGTTTGAAAGGGAATCGATCACTCCCCCAGACTAACATAAAAGCTCCACCTTTTGTGGAAGATCCATTTACAGAGGCTTCTGGGAGCTTCCGGCTGTTAGTCTCAGGGAGTGTACCGGACATATTTTCTCGTTGTTTCCGGGCGAAGACGCGTCTCGAAGCGGTGCCGCTTTGAGGCGGCTCTTTGTCAAGGCCCTCTTCCGCCGGCGCGGGATGAGCGCGATGCGCGCGAAGCAGAGCCGCGGCTATCGGCGAAAAACGACCCTCTGGCCCGGGTGAAATGCAAAGTCAAAGCTTCGGATTGGAATTGGAGTGGTTGTTGTCGCCACTTGCCAAAAGCGAATCGACCTGATCCGATCTTTTTGGGTTCTCCCGTTTGGCCCATTTTTAGTTGTGGCCCCAAAAGGTTAAGCTTTTATGTCCAGGTCCGTTGGGCAAGTGAGTTGTGCGACGGCAGCATGAGCAGCTAGAGGAAGGGCATCGGGGACATTTGGATGAAGTTCATGGGGACTGTGTGCATTTCTTCATGTGCTCTGCGTCCTGAGCACGCAGCCCAGGTTTTCCAGCGTCATCCAATCTTGAACTGTTGCCACCTGAAGGGTCAATGATGGCTGTTCTGCTAGGTCGCTTGTGGGGAACAATTGTTGAGGTGTTCTCCAACTTCTCGTGGTTTTCTTCATTTAAACTAGGTCCCCCAGTAGTGCCCTTTACCCTTTTTTTGGGGAGGGTTCCCCTACTAAAATAGACTACAGAAAAAAGTTGGTACCCTTATTTTCTAACCTCTCTACTGGAGGACCAAAAAAACAAAAACAAAAAACCATCAGTTAGAGGGTATTTTTGAGGATGCCGCTTGAACGAACCCCGCCGCGCCGGGCCAGCAGCGAAGTCTGAAATCTCACCGTCTTATCGCTCGGCTTTGTACAGCCACGGGCTTCGAGACTGCCTTTGACAGCATCAGCTACCTTCTCAGACCTAAAGAATGACAAACTCAGTTGCCCAAAGCCGACCTTTTAACCTTGTGGTTTTTTCCGTTTTGGTCCATTTTTAGTGGTGCCAAAAGGTTAACCTTTTAGTTCTGGGTCCTTTGGGCAACTGAGTACCCTCTCAGACCTAAAGAATGACAAAAGAGGCGTGTTTTGTGGTTGACAGGCTTCCGATGCATCTAAGCGTTCTGACACCTCTAAACCCTCAGCCTAAGCGACGGGTGCAAATTTGACCTCCCATGGGGCAAGTGGTACATCATATTGCGCGCCATACCTTCCAAACTAAGATGGTTTCCACTCTCCCCAGACCACTACCCCCAGGGCAAATTTGGATACATACCCTTGTGGTGGCTATACAGTGGTTATATATATATATGTATAGATGTATATATCCCATTAAACCCCTGGGGGTAGTGGTTTGGGGATAGTGGAACCCATCTTAGCAAACTCAATTCCCGGCAGTTGCGAAACGATCCCCTGGATGCCGAAGGAATTCAGCTGCTTCGCAGGGGGGAAAGAGTCGGAGGACTGCGCGCCGCTTCAATCTTTGAAGGCTTCAATGGCCCGAATGGATTCTGTTGTTGGTTGGGTTTGTATGTTTGAACCCATGTAAAAACAACCACGCCTGTCCGTTGACACCTCTTTTCACATCTTTACTAACGACTGCTATGAGGGAATAGCCTCACCATTGTGGATTGGGGTGGTGTACATCCACAACGCGGTCCCCGTGTTCGGTATAGTTCCTGCTTGATACGTTTGGGATGTATGCACCCGGGGGGGGGCTGGCTTATGACGTGCAGCGCGGACATCAGGAAGCTGCTTGGGTCGGGAAGATTTTGCCCGGGAAACTTCGATTGATAGAATCAGGCGCAGATTTGAAACTTTCGGATGGCCTTCACATATGGCTGTGGGTCAAAAATAGGTACCCAGAATGGAACCCTGGTAAATGGAACCAAAGACTAAAACCTGCGGTCCCATTCCGGGTGGTTTAATTTTGACCCGTACCCATATTCTCTGCGAAGGTTCCTACCTTGGAACCTCCCAGGCCCAGCAAATCGACAAACAAGGCTTTTTGTGTCCCTGAGTTGGTGAATATATTTACCTGGACTCCATGACCCTTTGAAAATAGGTCCATGACCCCATTTTATTTAGGGTCATGACCCCATTTTTTGGGGGGGGGGTCGTGGAGACTCTAGGTAGTCAGGGTTTGAAAAGGTTAACCTTTTGCTTGAAGGTCCACCGGGCAAGTTGGCACTCGATTCATGGGGATGTCTTACATGGTAAGGCGGGGGGGGGGGGGGAAAGGAGCCTGCTGCCTCGGTCTTTTTCTGAGGGTAGGTGTTAAAGGGCAACCAAAGGGACACCCACTCATTTTGGGGGTCCCCTAGAAACACCCACACCCACAATAGACATAGAGAGGCCATTGGAAAAGGGAAGGGCGCCGATGACTCGCCTACACAAATGCGCTTGAATCCCCACTCTTGCCATACTCTTACCTACTTTCTGCTATTGACCATGGTTGCCGAGGCACAGTCTGTGGTGGACAACGACTCTTTGAAGCAGCGGGGCCCTTGTCGAATTGGTGGGCCAAATCGACTGCTAGCTGCAAACTGATATGCCCGGCTGTGTCGGGACCATTTGCAGGGATTGCTCGTAGAGAAAGTCGGCAAGACATGGGAGGGTGTCCCTGCATGAGACAAATCAGCCCGAGCACGCCGCAATTGGCGGTTTGGGCGATGACGACTCGGCAGTTGCGGGCAGTTGGCAGGGCAGCTGTCTTTAAGCACCCACACCATCATATCCATAGGTGTCCTTTTTGGTTGGCTTGCTTAAAAAATACAGGGCCCTGGTTTAGATGGGGTTTATTCCATTTACCAGGGCCATCGATTTTTCCGAAAGCCCAGCAAACCATCATATCATGTGCCACCTTCCGTGTGTGCTCTTCTTGCTTTTTCCCCCGGTCTACTGGGCAGTGCCTTTGGAGGAAATGCCGCCAGCAAAGTCATCGGAATCCATGACAGGCTTTGACGTGTTGGTTTGGTCGGACCTTCTATTTATCACCCGAAGCTAGCAGAATGCTCCTTGAATCAGAGCATGGAGCCTAATTCGGGTGCCATGCGTTTGTCTTGTTTTCCCAAGAGTTGAAAGGCATCCAACGTTGGGAGTGTGAATGGGTGTTGTCACACGTCATGCATGTCATGAGTGCAATGCGTTGCTTCACCTGCCTTCGCGTCGTGCTGGACATGGTGATCACATTGGCCACGGAGTGGGGTTTCTCGAAATAGAGGTCCAACAAATGGCTGGTTCCTTTTGGCTTCCCTTTAAATGCCGACCGAACGGGGCACTTGAACAAGAAGGAGAGCGAAGGCGGCAGTGCATTTACATACCCTTTGTCCTTGGGATCCGTAAGCAGGAGCTAGGATTTGAATGGCAACCAACGTTACTGCCAGGCTATGCCAGGCTCTTCTCCAAAGCTACGTACATATTTTAGGGTGCGCTGAGTATGAAACATAGTCAGAACATTTGTTTTCCTTGTAGCCCAGGTGCGGTGCGGACCACAGCATAAGCTGAGGGTGGAGTGGGATCTCCTCCTTGGACTCCCTTACAGTTGTGTTTGTTGCCCAGTGTTGTTGGAAACGAAGGAGGGTTGATGTTCCCACGATGTCCTCAAACATCCCCCAGCCAAGTGGGTCTGGATCGTTTTTGAGGGTACCTTGTTTTTTGGTGTGAAAGGCAAAACGACTGGAAAGCCATTAGGTTGTTGTTTTACCCTGTTTTTGGTTTCAAAGGAAAAGCTAAAGGAACATTTGTCGTGTGAGGGGTTACCTTAAAAGCACGAGCCACCAACAAGTTGCCCCTGGAAAAAGTTTGGCACGAAAACACATCCGCTGCTCAGGGCATCTGCGTCGCTCACAGCTCTGGGCAATAAGGCCGGGGGAAGCATTCGCAGCGCATGCTGATTGGGGTGGCTTGTTTGGAGTTGTTACCCCGTCTTGTTGGCGTTTCCAATGGAACACCAAAGTACACATCCTGGAGGACCCTTTGCAAATCCAATTCGGGCACTTTTTGAGGTGAAGTGCTCGAGAGAAAACGAACCCGCAACTCGAGCGCAATTTCCCGCTACTCGGGCGCAATTTTCCGCAAACGCGGGCTCAATAGCAAAAATTGTCCAAAGCCAAAGATCTGCCCTGCAATCCGTGTGTTTGCATGTGTTTGCATTTCACATTACTTGCGCACTTATTTGCCACGAAAGCTCGAGCAAACATTTGTGTGTCAACGGGTTCTGCGGCATATACCTAATTATTTCCGGGGGTCCAAATCCCGAAACAAAATGCGCACTGGCAACCTGCGATCCATTTTGATCCACTGGGAACCTCCTCCCATGTAGCTTGGCTCCAACAGAGGACGGGATTTCCCACTTCCTTTCTTGGAGCCCAAAGTGGCGAATGGCGATGGTTTTGGAAGTTTAGGGGATCCAGTGGCCGTAAGCTGCTTGAGACTGCCCCCAAATGGAGCACGCCTGTAAACAGCATGAGCCAGTCAGCTATTCAAAGCCATCCTTTGGTGGTTTCCTGTCAATGTTCCTATGGCCCTTCTTGTGAGTTAGGCCCGCCTTGGTGGTATGAACTTTGTTTTTGGGACGGGTTCAATGCACGCGGTTGACTTTCAGGGAAGATGAGATGAGCAGGGGCTGTTTTTGCGCCAGCTTGAAAATACGCAAATTACAAATGTTCCAGCACGAGTTACACAAGATTGTCCTTGTTCGCTCCACGTTTCAAAAGCTTCCAGACATGAGGCGCGCGTTGTTTCCAGACTCTCTGGGTGTTAAACGGTTCATCGGTTCTAGTTTGCCCAAAGGGAAACCAAAAGGGGATGGCCATTTGATTCATTTTTTCAGGGCTTCCTATTTGCCACCCAGGATGTTCTGGGAACAAGGGTCAGAGATGGGTATGCCTTGTTTCAAGGGACCCCCCCCCAAAAAATGTGTTTTTTTTCTGGTTAGTTTCCTTGTCAAACCCAACCAAGGGTTCCCGAACACAAGGCAAGCCCAGATGGATTTTCTTCCACCAATTTACTTCCATTTGTTTAAGACGATTTTCTATATTCCCCGGTTGGTTTTAAATGGAATCTATGACTACTGGATTTTTTGTTGTTGTTTTTTTCCAGGGGACTTAACCAAATGACAGTTTAGCACCCCAACTGCTGGCCGTCTGCCGACTAAGCGCCTCACGCCAGGATGCCGCTGGGCAGCTTCTAAAGTCTTTGGAGGCTCGCGGAGGGGCCGAAGGCGTTGGTTCGATATTTGTTGGTCCCCCAGCTAGATATTTGCTCAAG